TACCAAAAAAAAAAAAAAAAAAACCAAACAAACAGGCCAGGGATTTAGCTCAGTGGTTCTGGCGCCTGCCTCGCTAGCACAAGGTCCGGGGTTCAATCCCCAGTACCAAAAAATAAAAATAAAAATTAAAATTAAAAAAGCAAACAAACAAAGATCCAGGCCTGAAGTAAGGTTCTGTAGGACAGATGGTGCAGAGTGAAAAGAATGTGATACAGGTGGAGCTAATAAGAATGGCACAGTGGCACACTGGCACCAGTTTGTGACAGCAGGATGTGGAAGTCACACTGATGACTGTCCTCAGGAAAACATAAAACGTTATAGATGCCTACTATGGAATACTCTATAGCTGTCACGTGTAATAAACCAATTGTACACAGATTAGCACTTAAAAAGCCACAGTACTGAATGAAAAAGGAAACAACAGGTTCACAAAGACTGTTTGCTTACCCCCCGCCCCCCATCCTAACTCTCCTATTTTAGGTTTAAAGCCAGCTAACTTTCCCATTCCATCTCTCACTCCATTTCCGGCCCAAGCTCTGCTCCCCATCCCAGGCTTAAAAGCTTTGACTCTGCCTCTTTGGGGCAGGGTGAAATCTCTACTTCCGGACACCCCACCCCCACCCCTGGCACGCTGCTGTACTGGTGTTAATAAATCTTTCTGCCTCAATAGGTCGTCTCTGGGTCTTAAATTAACCTAACAAGTACAATGTCATCTCAGTCAACTAAAAATACATATATAAAGGGGCTACACTCATCTTCAAAGGATTCATAAATATTAAAGACAAAGACACTTGCTCCATAGTTTCCTCTGGGAGGAGAGGGATGGAAGTGAGGATAGAAGAAACGCAACTGAGACGGGTGATGTCCGTAGGCGACGGACAAGCTAAAGGGATTTATAAGGTGGTGATGTTTCTACACTTAAGCAAATGGTAGAACACTGACTCTAAGTAGACTTGGAAAGGACAAGTATGTGTGTTTTAATTCCAAGACCAACCATTAATAAATAAAAGAGCCAGGCATGGTGACACACACCTGTAATTTCAGCTACATGGGAGGTTGAGACAGGAGAATTACAAATCCAAGGGCAGCCTGGGTAATTTTTCAAAATCGGTCTCAAAATTTAAAAAATAAAATAAAAACACAAAGGGCTGTGGATTTAGCTCACTGGTAGAGTACTTGCCTAGCATGTGCATAACCCTGGGTTCAGTCTCCAGTATCAAAACAAACAAAGAGACACAAAAATCCACAACCATGACAGTCCATAAATTTAACAGAGACACTAAGCAATCAAATAATCCTAAAGAACAGAGGCTCAGAGAACGAATAATAAAAAGGTAGACCTAAATCCAACCATAGCAATAAATGTTTATGGTCTAACACTTCTATTAAAAGAGAATGAGAGTTCAATCCTCATACCAAAATAAATAAATAAAAATAAAAGAGAATGAGAGTCAATAAATAAAAAGGCAATACCCTACTAGTATATGCTATGTACAAGGGACATTCTAAATATAGACATATATAGAATGAAAATTAATGGATGAAAAACTATACCATGTAATCAGGAAACGACAGCTGGAGAGGCTATTTTAATTTCAGATAAACAGACTTCAAGACAAAGAGTATTTCCAGAGATAAAAAGAGATACTTCACAATGAAAAAAATTCAAATTACTAGGAAGACATAATTACCCGTTCTATGTACTTAATAATAGAGCCTCAAAGTAGTCAAAGAAAAAACTGACAGAATTAAGGGAAAACAGACATGCCACAACCTCAGAAAATTTTGAAAACTCCCAGCAATTAATAGTACTACTATATAAAAATTTACAAAAGATGCAAATGATCTGAACTACACTACTGGCCACCATACTCTGATAATTAATATTTATGAAACATTAAATCTGAAATACAGGACATACATTCTTGTCAATGTGCATTCACCAAGACAATTCATATGCTGAGCCATAAACCTTAAACTTTTATTAAATGGATGAAATGACAGTGTTTTCTTTGTCCACACTGAAAATGAATTAGAAACTGATGATAGTAAATATTCAAAAAACAGCTGGGAACGTAGCTCAGTGGCACGAAACCTGCCTGGCAAGCTCAAGGTCCTGAGTTCGACCGCCGGTACCCCCCCCCAAACCCCCACATATTTTATTTATTTATTTGTTTGTTTGTTTATTGGGGGGGGGACCAGGAATCGAACTCAGGTCCTTGCTCTTTTGAGGCAGGTGACAGAACCACTGAGCTAAATCCCCAGCCCAAAAAACAAATTTTTAAAAACCCACAAAAATCCAGATATCCTGAAATTAAATAACGTATTTTCTACATAACTCATAGGTCAAAAATGAAATCACAAGGGAAGTTTTCAAAAATTTTTTTTTTGGTACTGGGGATCAAACTCGGATCCTTCCACTTGGGAGGCAGGCGGCGGAACCACTGAGCTAAATTCCCATTGCCACTTAAAAATATTTTGAGTAGGGCCGGGGATTTAGCTCAGCGGTTTCACCGCCTGCTGCGCAAGCGCAAGGAACCGAATTCGATCCCCAGTACCAAAAAAAAAAAAGAAAAAAGAAAAAAAAAAGAAGCAGATAAAAGAAAAGCAGTACTTAGAAGAGGACGTAAAACTCTAATTGCTTATATTAGAAAAGAAGTTCCAGGGCCGGAGATTCGGAGATTTACCTCAGTGCTTCCAACACCTGCCTAGCAAGTGCAAGGTCCCGAGTTCGATCCCTAGTACCAAAAAAAAAAAAAAAAGCCCTAAAATCAATAACAAGATCATTTAAAACACCTTAAAAAGAACAATGCAAACCAAAGAAAGAAAAATAAGAGAAACTCATTAACTAGAAAACAAATAAGCCAGGTGGGGTGGCCCATGCGTGTAATCCCAGAATCCCAACACTCTGGGAGGCTGAGACAGGAGGATCAAAAGTTTGATGCCGGGGATTTAGCTCAGTGGTTCCACCTCCCGCCTCAAAAGTGAAAGGACCTGAGTTCGATCCCCAGTACCAAAAAAAAAAAGTTTGAGTCTGCCAGTCCAACTTACTTAGCAAAGAAAGACTCTGTCTCAAAATACAGAAAGAAAATGAAAAAGCTGAGGGTTCGTTCAATCCCCAGAAGTGTGAAAAACAAAACAAAACTTGTAAAACTTTTAGACACTTTACAAAGGATAATATACAAAATGGCTAGGGCCGGGGATTTAGCGCAGTGGTTTCGCCGCCTGCTGCGCAAGGACCAGAGTTCGATCCCTGATACCAACAAAAAAAAAAAAAAAAAAAAAAATGCAAAATGGCCAATAGGCAGAAGAACAGGTGCTCAACCCTTTTATATATAAATGATGAATAATTCACAAATTAAAATGAGACATTATTATATAACTATTAAGTTAGCTAAAAAGAAAAAAACTGAGTCTCATATATTGCTGGCGTGAATGTAAAACGATACTACTTTGGAAAAGGGGCAGTTTCTTAAAAAGCTCATCATACTCCTCCAACTAACCAACCTAGGATGGCAAAACTCTTCTAGGTATTTATGAAGTGAAATGGAAACATCTGTCCATACGAGACTCAAGCATGGCTGTGCATAGTGGCATACACCTTTGATTCCAGCACTGTGGAAGGCTGAGGCAGGAGGATCTCACTTTCAAGCCCAAAGTGGGCAACTCAGCAACTTAGTGAGACCCTGACTCACAATTTTAAAAAAAGGGCTAAGGGATGTAGCTCAGTGTGAAGGTCCTGGGTTCAATCTCAAGTAATACACACACACACACATATCATACATGAGGGAAATATAAACCAAAATTACATTGAGATTCCATCTTACCCCAGTCATAATAGCAATCAAGCAGAATACAATAAATGCATACATACACAAATAAATGCTGGCGAGGATTAGAGGCACTTTGACACTGCTGGTAGGAACTGCTGGTAGTTAGTACAGCCAGTATGAAAACCAGTATGAAAGTTTCTCCAAAAACTAAAAATAAACTTACCATTTGATCCAGCCACACCCATCCATGGAATATACCCAAAGGAAATAAAATTAGCATACCAGAGGGACATGCACACACCAATGTCTACTGTGGTACAATATATAATACCCAAGACTGGAACCAGTCTAGGTGCTCATTAATACATTAATGGATAAAGAAAATGTGGTATATATTAATACACAACTGTTTTTAAATTAGCTAAAAAGAAAAAAACTGAGTCTCATATACTGCTGTGAATGTACAATGATACTACTTTGGAAAAGGGGCAGTTTCATTATTTTTTTGGTACTGGGATCAAACAACTCAGGACCTTGGGCTTTCGAGACAGGAGCAGCATCACTGAGCTAAATCCCTGGCCCAAGGGCCAGTTTCTTAGAAAGTTCATCATATTCCTCCCAACCAACCAACCGAGGATGGTAAATACTCTTCTAGGTATTTATGAAGTGAAATGGAAACATTTGTCCATTCAATATTCATTCATAACTGTGTGCAGTGGCACACACCTGTGATTCCAGCACTGTGGAAGGCTGAGTCAGGAGGATCTTACTTTCCATAATGGCTGTACTAGCTTACATTCCCTCCTGCAGTGTCAAAGTGCCCCTCACAAGGGAGTATTACTGGCCATAAAAAGAATGAAAGTTTATCATTTGTAAAAAAAACTGGAGGGATCTGAGGATCATCATGTTGAACAAAATAAGAAATATTGTAAGTTCTCCCTAATGCAGTATATAGACTAAAAAAACTGACAACATTTTTTTAAATTGACAAGAAAGGAGACTACTATTTGACAAGAGGAAAAGAAGAAGGGAAAGGGGGTGTAAGTACGGGTAATAGAGCCAGGAATATGATCAAAATGCATTACACACACTGAAACCCTCCCCCCCAAAATGTCAAACTAGGGGTGAGGGTGGGGTAAGGGTGTGCTGGAGGAAAGAGATTAAAGTACATTGTGTTCATGTACAAATCTCCTAAAATGAAACCCATTAATCTGAATAACCAAGATACACTGATAAAAAAAATGTGGGGGACCTGGGCATGGTGGCATCTGCCTGTAATTCCTAGCACTTAGGAGGCTGAGGCAGGAGGATCACTCAGAGTTCAAGGTCAATCTAGGCTACCTAATGAGTTCAAGGCTAGCCTGAACTACACAGTGAGATTCTACCTCAAAAAAAAAAAAAAAAAAAAA